ATGGTTTCAAGCAGGAAATTCAAAATGTAGTCTAGCTGAATTAGATTTCCATTAGCATATCTTCAAATTAGGCTAGCTGAATTAGGTTTCCACTTGGAAATCTTCAATTTATACCAGCTAAATTAGGGTTTCACTTCGAATTCTTCAATTTATACCAGCTGAATTTGGTTTCCCTTAAGAACTTTACAATTCAGCTTAGCTGAATTAGATTTGCATAAGAAAATCTTCATTTCAGCTTAGCTGAATTACCTTTCCCTCCCGAAATCTTCAATTCAGCTTAGCTGAATTAGGCTTCCCACCCGAAAATATTTAATTCACATTGGCTGAATTTGAATTCGAAAAGAAAGTATTCAATTCAGCTTAGCTGAATTACCTTTCCCATCCGAAATCTCCAATTTAGTTTAGCTGAATTTGGTTTCCATAAGAAAATCTTCAATACAGCAAAGCTGAATTTGATTTCCATAATAAAATCTTCAATTCAGCTTAGCTGAATTGCCTTTTCCACCCGAAATCTTCAATACACCTTGGTTGAATTTGTTTTCCATTAGGAAATATTTAATTCAGCTCAGCTGAATTTGGTTTACATAAGAAAATCATCAATTCAGCTTAGCTGAATTACCTTTCCCAACCGAAATCTTAAAATCAGCTTAGCTGAATTACCTTTCCCACCCGAAATCTTTAATTTAGTTGAGCTGAATTTGATTTCCATAAGAAAATCTTCGATTCAGCTTAGCTGAATTTGGTTTCCCATCCGAAATCTTCAATTCAGCTTAGCTGAATTAAGCCTTACCTCGGAAATTTCCTAAAAATTTAATTTATTTTGCTTGTATTAACCCACATTTAATTGAAATATCATATAACACACAACATTTAATATTTGCTTGTTTGTTTGTCGTAGATAACCCGGAATACACCCATTTGTTATCAGGATGGAAGGCCTGATAATAATCCGAATATTACCTCCATTTATGTGTTTGATGTGGTTGTTTTCTTTTTTATTCTATAATGATTGTGATTTATAAATAACATTGAAAGAATATTTTCGAGTATGACCAATTAATAATGGAAGAGCCGGACGGACGGACAGACAGACAGACTTGAGATAAGCCCAGGAAAATAAATCAACAACAACCAAAAACGTGAACTAGTTCTCCTCGTATGCAACAAATTAAATGACAATTCCGAAATGAAGTTCCCAAATCATTATGCCTGCCTGCCTGGCTGGCTGATAAGATAATCATCTGGGAAACTTTTTCCCCATGCGCATACTATGTGTGAAAGTCCGACTGATTGCCTAATCATCATCATCATCGATAGTTCCGTGGCCATTAGGCGCAATACAATAACCTTCAAAAGCAACCCAACCCCAACCGCATTTCCCCACCCTGTTCCAGTACAAACAGCCAACTTTCTATTATTCTTGCCGATAAGGAGGCTTTTTATTTTTCGCTTAATCTATTTGTAGTTCTGTGGACCACCTTTAATAAACCTTTTGGCCTCATCAGCAGCAGTATTGCTTTCGATGCCGATGAGGATAAGCCTCGTTTGGTCTATCTGTCTGTCTGTCTGTCCGTCCGAAATACACACTTTTTTCTTCATTGCTGTTAAGTGATAACCTCTTGGTTGTTATAGCGCAACAACTTTGACTTCGGTTATCTCTCTGTTACGCCTGAGAGAGCACTACGCCACCACAGAGGTTAAACCCCGGCCGACAATAAAAAAAAATGTAGAAAGACATTCAACCAAAAATAAATGGAAAGAAGAAGAAAAAATAAAAAAAAAACTTGGATGAGCTGTACTTCTTACTTAACAATTGCGTTGGTCGTTCGTTCGGTTGTTGATTCGGTCGATCTATAATCTCGGAAACCGAGAACCAAACCGCGAAACACTTGACAGACTGATAAGAGGAGACATAGAATGACACACTGAGGGTTCGTGGAACAGATAGGCAGTCAATGAAAGCGAAAGAATGACAATAATTTTTATTTCACATGCTGACAATGGTCCTCAGCCCCCCACCCCCCTCTTCACCACCACCCTCTCACCATGCTTGTGAGTAATGTTTTCTTTGCTTTCAATATTGACATCAATTGTAAATTTATTTATTTATTTATTTTTTTTTTTTGATTTTGCATCATCAAGACTGAGCAAGGAGAGGACGAGAAAGAGAGAGACGAAACGACACGACACGATGGAGCAGAACCGATTGACAGATCCATGGAAAATTATAAATAATTCATGCATAAATATCAATAAGAAAAAGAGAGAAAAACCTAGATTTAAAGGAAATGGAAATGTTTGCAGCAACCTTCAACCAAACGAACGGAGGTGACAAGTAAATCAGTTGGGAAATCTTCCATTCAGCTCAGCTGAATTAGGTTTCGCAAAGGAAATCTTCAATTAAGCCCACCTAAATTAGATTTCCTATAGGAAATCTTCAATTCAGCTTAGCTGAATATGGTTTCCTATAGGAAATCTTCAATTCAGCTTAACTGAATATAGTTTCCTATAGGAAATCTTAAATTCAGCTTAGCTGAATAAGGTTTCCTATAGGAAATCTTCAATTCAGCTTAGCTGAATTAGGTTTCCTATAGGAAATCTTCAATTCAGCTTAGCTGAATTAGGTTTCCTATAGGAAATCTTCAATTCAGCCCAGCTGAATAAGAGTTCCTATAGGAAATCTTCAATTCAGCTTAGCTGAATTAGACTTCCCTTATGAAATATTTAATTCAGCCCATCTGAATTAGATTTCGCAAAGGAAATCTTCTATTCAGCGTAGCTGAACAAGTGTTCTAATACAAAATCTTCAATTCAGCGCGGCTGAATTAGATTTCCTATAGGAAATCTTCAATTCAGCGCGGCTGAATAAGAGTTCCTATAGGAAATCTTCAATTCAGCCCGGCTGAATAAGAGTTCCTATAGGAAATATTCAATTCAGCCAGGCTGAATTAAGGTTTCCATAGGAAATCTTTAATTCAGCCCGGCTGACTTAAGGTTTCCATAGGAAATCTTCAATTCAGCCCCGCTGAATTAAGGTTTCCTATAGGAAATCTTCAATTCAGCTTAGCTGAATAAGGTTTCCTATAGGAAATCTTCAATTCAGCTTAGCTGAATAAGGTTTCCTATAGGAAATCTTCAATTCAGCTTAGCTGAATAAGGTTTCCTATAGGAAATCTTCAATTCAGCTTAGCTGAATAAGGTTTCCTATAGGAAATCTTCAATTCAGCTTAGCTGAATAAGGTTTCCTATAGGAAATCTTCAATTCAGCTTAGCTGAATAAGGTTTCCTATAGGAAATCTTCAATTCAGCCGTGCTGAATAAGAGTTCCTATAGGAAATCTTCAATTCAGCCAAGCTGAATAAGAGTTCCTATAGGAAATCTTCAATTCAGCCAAGCTGAATAAGAGTTTCCATAGGAAATCTTCAATTCAGCCCAGAAGAATTAGAGTTTCCATCGGAAATCTTCAATTCAGCCCAGCTGAATTAAGGTTTCCATAGGAAATCTTCAATTCAGCCCAGCTGAATTAAGATTTCCATAGGAAATCTTCAATTCAGCCCAGCTGAATTAAGGTTTCCATAGGAAATCTTCAATTCAGCCCAGCTGAATTAAGGTTTCCATAGGAAATCTTCAATTCAGCCCAGCTGAATTAAGGTTTCCATAGGAAATCTTCAATTCAGCCCAGCTGAATTAAGGTTTCCATAGGAAATCCTCAATTCAGCCCAGCTGAATTAAGGTTTCCATAGGAAATCTTCAATTCAGCCCAGCTGAATTAAGGTTTCCATAGGAAATCCTCAATTCAGCCCAGCTGAATTAATGTTTCCATAGGAAGTCTTCAATTCAGCTTAGCTGAATAAGGTTTCCTATGGGAAATCTTCAATTCAGCTTAGCTGAATAAGGTTTCCGTTAGGAAATTAGCAATTCAGCGTGTCTGAATAAGATTTCCGTTAGGAAATCAACAATTCAGCGTGTCTGAATAAGATTTCCGTTAGGAAATCAACAATTCAGCTTCAGGGGTTTATTAGAAGCCTAATTGGACTAAGAGGAGCTCGTTAAAGGTCCAATCAGCATAAGGGAGCTCCTTAGACGTCTAATTGGATAAAGAGAAGATTGTCAGAGGTCCGATTAGTTATGTAGGAGGTTGTTAGAGGTCCGATTAGGTTAAGAGGAGTTTATTAGATATCCTATTAGGTTACGAGAAGATTGTTAGAGGTCCAACTAGGCTGAGAGGAGGTTGTTAGAGGTCCAATTGGGTTAAGAGGAATTATGAGATGGTTGTTAGAGGTCCGATTAGGTTAGGAGGAGTATATTAGAGGTCCGGAAGTTGTTCGAGGTCCAATCATGTTAAGAGGAGCCCGTCAGAGGACCAATTGGATTAAGAGTAGGTTGTCAGAAGTCAGATTAGTTATGTAGGAGGTTGTAAGAGGTCCAATTAGGTTAAGAGACGGTTTTTAGAGGTCCGACTAGGTTTAGAGGAGGTTGTTTGAGGTCCAGTTGTGTTAAGAGCTGGTTTTTAGAGATCCAATTTGGTTTAGAGGATGTCCGATTAGGTTAGGAGAAGGTTGTTTGAGGTCCAACTAGGCTGAGAAGAGCTCATTAAAGGTCCAATTAGGGTAAGAGAAGGTAAATTTTATTAAAAGAGGTTTAGTTATTACAGGTCCAATTAGTTATGGAGGATATGAAGCAGACACCTATAGGTCTGAATGTAAAAGGTAACGTTGTTAAGGTATTATCCTATGTTAGGAGAAGGTCGTTAGAGGCTCGACTAAGTTAATATGTGTTTGTTGCAACCATAGACCCCATTTGAACCAGATCAGATTCTTTTCCATGAATTTATATTTAATTATTTTTTAAAACTTTCCCCCCAAAAAAACCCCGCACTATTTCCCTAATTACTTCTTCCCAAATGATAAATGATGATGATGACCTGAAACCGCTTTTTCAGATTTTCTTTCAACCTTCTTCTTTAGTTTCCTTCTTGCCCATATTGCTTTTCCGCTTACCTTTTCTACAGCTGATGAAACACCAATTGATGACTGTTGTACACCTTCGGCGCGACTAGAGTGTTTTTCATAGCATGTGGAACAAATTTGCACCATGCCTAGAGGGGCGAGAAGATCAAAGGGAAAGAGAGAGAGAGAGAAAGAACAAAAAAAAAGTTAGTTTTTTCGGTTGTTTGTCGGTGTTTTTCTTTCTTCGCTTTGCTTTGCTCAGTGGCTTACCTTGCGGGCTAATGGGACTAGCATTCTTATAAGCTGTCATTTGTTTTATGAATGGATAGTAGGGTTCACGTTCGGCATTTGGACAACAATAGACCAGTCTTAATTGTGAGGAGGGGGCATCAGTGCCGCAGGTATAACACACAAATTTTGCACGTTCCACAACGGAGGCAGGTTTTTTCCTTAGATAATAGTTGCGTTCACTTTCGGGTATTTGATTAGTCTGAAAAGAGAGAGAAAAGTGGGGAGAGATTAGAAATATGAAAAAGAAGAATTTTTTAACAAAATGTATAAAATGGGTCCCAAAATATCCAAAATATTTTTAAAAATCGTTGCTTGAAGCTTAGGTTGTATTTCAAAAAAATCGTTTAAAAAAATAAGGTTTGGAGCTCTAAAAGACCCTATTAGAAGTCCGGCATGTATTGTAGGAGCTCATTAGACCTACAATTAGGTTAGGAGGAGGTCTTTAGAGGTCCGAATAGGTATGTAGGAGGTTGTTAAAGGTAAAATTATGATAAAAGCAGGTTGTTAGAGGTTCAACTAGGTTAAGAGGATGTTGATAGAGGTCCGATTAGGTATTTAGAAGGTTGTTAGTGTCCATTTAGGGTAAGAGAAGGATGTTAGAAGTCCGATTTTTTATGAAAAGGTTGTTAGAAGTCCGATAAGGTCATAAGAGGTCGATAGAGGTCCAATTAGGTTAATATGAGGTTGTTAGAGGTCCGATGAGGTAATGAGGAGGATGTTAGTGGTCCGATGAGGTTATGAGGAAGTTGGTAGAGATCCGATTATTTATGTAGGTGGTAGTTAAAGCACCGATTAGGTTGGCAAGAGGTAGATAGAGGTCCGTTTAGATTTAGAGGAGGTTGTTAGAGGTCCCATTAGGTGGGTAAGATGTTGTTAGAGGTTCGATTAGGTATGTAGGAGGTTGTTAGAGGCCCAACTAGATTAAGATGAGGTCATTAAAGATCCAATCGGATTCATAGGAGGTTGCTAGAGGTCCGATTTTGTTAGGAGAATGTTGTTACAGGTCGATTTAGTTAGAGGAAAGTTGTTAGAAGTCCGATAAGGTTAAGAGAAGGTTATTAGAGGTTCGAAGAAGTTATCAGAGGTCTAATTAGATTAAGAGGAGAGCGTTAGAGGTCCAATTAGGTTAAAAGGAGGATGTTAGAGGTCCGATTAGGTTAAGATGAGGGTGTTAGAGGACAAATTAGGTTAAGAGGAGTATGTTAGAAGTCCAATTAGGTTAAGAAGAAGTTATCAGAGGTACAATTAGGTTAAGTGGAGGGTGTTAGAGGTCCAATTAGGTTAAGGGGAGGGTGTTAGAAGTCCAATTAGGTTAAAAGGAAGTTGTTAAAGGTCCAACTAGGTTAAGAGGATCTCATTAGATGTCCGATTACATTAAGAGGAAATTGTCAGAGGTCGAATTTGTTTAAGAAGTGATTGTAATTTAAGTAAGGTAAGTATTTCCGGAGGGGTTTTTTAGAAGTCTAACTAAAAGTCCGATTAGGTTAGGAGCAAGTTGTTAGAGATCCGATCAGATAAGCAGGACTTTTTTTAGAGATCTAAATAATATAGCACATGATCATAAGAACTTCAATTAGTGCAGAGGAGATCATCATGGTTCGAATAGTATAGTAGAGGTCCATTTGAAGTCCGATATGCATATAAAGTGCTCATAATAGGTCTAACATGCCCGTTAGCGATCCGACTTGTATAGTAAATGAACATGAGAGGTATGAAGAGGTTCTTAGAGGTCCGCTCAAGTAAGGAGGAAGTAATTAAAGATCTTTTCATTTACAAAACAGAGGAGGTTTTTAGAGGTCAGATGAGGAAAATATCTGGTTATTACGGATCGAATTAATATAGAAATAGCTCTTAAGAGTTCGCTAGAGGTTCGATTAGGATAGAAGGAGTTTGTTAAAGGTCCGATTAGAAAATGTTGCTAAGAGGTCGAACTAATATTGAAAGTGCTCTTAAGAGGTTCTTAGAGGTGTGATCAGGTTTCGAAGTTGCTCATATTGGTCCGATTAGGTACGGAAGGAGTTTCAATTAGGTTAGAAGGAGTTTGTTAAAGGTCCGATTAGAAAATGTTCATAAGAGGTCGAACTAATATAGAAAGTGCTCTTAAGAGGTCCTTAGAGATGTGATCAGGTTTCGAGGTTGCTCTTATTGGTCCGATTAGGTACGGATGTGGTTATTAGAGATAAAAAATGCCCATAAGAGGTTAAAATAATATTATGGGAGCTCATTAGAGTTTCTATTAGTACAGTAGATGTTCATTGAAAGTTCCATGTGTATAAAAGAAGCTCACTGGCGATCCCCTTACGTAAGGCAAAGGTTGTTTGAGGGTCTGATGAGGAAAATGTCAGCTTATTACAGACCAAACTAATAAAAAAGGAGCTCTTCATAAGTGGTCCAACTAGTATTATTATGTTTAAGAGGAGCTCACTAACGATCCCATTATTGAAGAAGAAGGTAGTTCGAAGGTTCGATTATGTAAATATCAGGTTATTACAGATCTAATTAATATAGAAAGAGCTATTAAGAGGTCCCTGGAGGTTCGATTAGGTTGGGAGAGGTACAGATTAGGTACGAATGTGGTTATTAGACACAGATTTCGTATGTAAAATGCTCAGAAGAGGTCCAATTAGTAGTATGGAAGCTCTTGAGAGGTTCGACAGGTGAAGCAAAAGCTCATTGAAAGTTCGACATGTATAGGAGGAGCTCACTGGCGATCCCCTTACGTAAGGCAAAGGTTGTTCGAAGTTCCGATTAGGAAAATATCAGGTTATTAGATAGAATATATAAAGAAAGAGCTCTTAAGAGGTCCTTAGAGGTTCGATTAGGCTAGCTAGGATGTGGTAATTAGAGACAGAAAATGCTCATAAAAGGTCCAACTAGTAGTATGGAAGCTCTTTAGAGGTACGATTCATACAGTAGGAGTTCATAAGAAGTCCGACACGTATAGAAGCAGCTCAGTAGCGACCCCATTACGTAAAAAAGAAAATATCAGTTTATTAGAGATCGAAGTAATATAGAATGTACTCTTAAGAGGTCGCTAGAGGTTCGATTAGGTTATTAGAAATACCAAATGTTCACAAGAGGTCCAACTAGTAGTGTGGAAGCTATTTAGAGGTTCCATTACTACTTTCAATGAAATTCTACTCATTGAAAGTTCCACATGTATAAGAGTACCTCTCTAGCGATCCATTTGGTAAGGCGAAGGTTGTTAGAGGTCCGATTAGGAAAATATCAAATTATTAAAGATATAATTTATATAAAAAGTGTTCGATAGAGGTCCTTTGCGGTGTAGTTAGGTTAGGAAGAGTTTTTTATAGGTCCGATTAGGTACAGATGTGGTTATTAGAGAACGATTTTGTATAGAAAATGCTCTGAAGAGGTCCAATTAGTATTATGGAAGCTCTTTAGAGGTTCCATTAGTACAGTAGAAGTTCATTAGAAGTCCGCTATATATTAGAGGATCTCATTAAATGTCCGCTTAGGTAAGGCGGATGTCCTTGCGGCTCCAAATAGTTAACGGTAAGTTAATAAATAGTTTAAAAATGTACAAAATTTAATGATTTTTTAGAAAATATCTAAAAATTGGCCTCCAAAATTTATTCAAAAAATTTTTAAGCTCTTCAAGTCTTTAAAAAATATTTTTTTTTTTTTTTTTTTGTTTTTTTTTTTTTTTTTTTTTTTTTTGTAGTAGTTTATGTCTAGAAATCTGTTACGGATCTACACCACCACTATGTGTTTTTTATGGCCGGCCACCAATGAAAACATAAATTTAAAAATTCATTTGCACTTTAAAAAGACTAGAAAAAGAAGAAACCGTATGGATGGGGAGGGGGTCTAGAGAACGACCGGATCCCAGGCAGCAGCAGCAGCCAACATTTAACTTTCATTGCTTTAGTAGAACAGTTTTTGTTGATGTTGTTCTTCTTTTAATTTGCATAAAAATTTCATTAAACAAATAAAGTATTTCAAAAAAAAAAATTTGAAAACAAACAAAAAACTTTAAAACAACAAAAAAAGAAGAACAACCAAAACAACAACAACAACAAAAAATATGAACAAGTTTATTGACATTTGAAGTGATGGTGTGCGCTATGCCGGAAAGAGAGCCTGAGAGCTACTGCTGTTATATGCCGTGCTGAAAACAGATTAAATTGCAAAGCAACAACAAAACAAATGTTGTACAAAAACAACACAAACAACAACAAAAACACCCCAGAGCAGAAGCAGTAAGAAGAAACACAACACACAATAAAAAAAAATGAAAATAATAACAATAATAGCTTGGCCATAGACCACGAACAAGGCAATGAATTTATCATGGGGCCAAAAACCCACACACACGTACACACACACGGAAACTCACTTGCCCAAAATCTACTCTAACGGTTGGCTGGCTGGCTAATGGTTGGGAAGAGGAATCCATGCTCCAAATTGCCAAAAAAGAAAGAAAAAAGCAAAACAAAACCAGTAAGGAAAGTAGTAAAGTCGGACGGGGCCGACTATATGATACCCTTCACCACTATGGATATATTAAACAGGACTATTAACATGAAATTGGATGAAATAAAATATGTGATATTTATCTAAATGTGAATCTACCTATATATCCATAAGTTATATAAATCGACTTCAATCAAATATAAATAGGTTATCTGTTGGGCTATGTCTGTACTTCTAGAAAACGCAACTACGTAATTCTATGCTCAATTTTGTACGTTGTGCAAAATTTGATGTCAACCTGACTAGCATGAAGAGTTTGATGTCCAATTTACTTAAAATCGGGCGAAAATATATGTGGAAGCTCTATCCAAATATATCGAAGGATATATAGGGACTTTGGTGCACCATTTACATGAAATCGGACGAAACTATATCTGAATCTGGGTCGATTTCTTCGAAACTGGGCAGACATCATTCTAGGCTCAATTCAGTACGTTATGCCAAATTTCCTGCAAATCGAAAGATATATAGGGACTTTGGGGCACCATTAACATGAAATCGAACGAAACTATATATGGGAGCTATATCTAAATCTGGACCGATTTTCGCGAAACTGGGCAGACATCATTCTAGCCTCAATTCAGTACGTTATGCCAAATTTCCTGCAAATCGAAGGATATCTAGGGACCTTGGGGCACCATTTACATGGAATCGGACGAAACTATATATGTGAGCTATATCTAAATCTGGACCGATTTTCAC